TTATTTTCAGTATCTCTTCCAGGAGAGACAGACAGGGTCTGCATCGCGGGCATGCCACGCCTGGCGTAGCCCGCGGCTCGGCCAGGGTTGGCGGCCCGCACACTCCAGACCACGGCCAACGGCTCCGTGCCCCCGCAAGCCCTCCGCCGAGCGCGCCCTTCCGGCTTTATTTACCAGGGCAGCGCCCCCCTCCGGTGGAGCTGTCTTTCTCCCCCTTTCTTTGAGTTCATCGTCCTCTCCCCCGGGCTTCCATAGTCTCACAACTCTCACCGCACTTGTTTATACCTTAGGAATGATAATGGCTCCCACAGACGTAACCAAAACAAAGCTGCGTGGAAGGGCGGAGGGAGGCCACTTGTCCCCTCGGAGCCACCGTCTCCACCCTGTGTTCCGGCTTGCCTTAAAACGCCCACTGCGCAATTGCGTAGGTGGATGGGCGGGCTCAAGCCAAACTGACGGCGTCCATTGGCTGTGCGAGGGAGGCGGGGCAAGACCTTCGTGTGACGTCAGAACGTCGCGATCAGGACGTCCAAGCCAAAGGAAGACGAGAGCCAGCCGGTTGGCCGAGTGCTGTCGCGGTTGTGTTCCTGTCGCCTTGGGCCATTGCTGGCGAGTCGCGGGAGCGAAGGGCCGTGGTTGGTACGGGGAGCGGTGGTCAGGCGCCTGGGACGGCGTCCCTTTTCTGTCTTAGGCCCCGCGAGCCCCGAGGCCTTCTCGGCCATCGTACCAACGGGCGCCGCGCGCGAGCGTCGACAGGGTGTGGCGGGGTAGGGCGGCCACTGCGCGTGCGCACCACCCCCCCCCACCATCAGCTTGCATTGACCGGGAGGTTCCACGGGACGAATGGTGTTGCCCCGGGCGACGGGCAGGCTCTTCCTCCAACCCGCGGCCTCCTTTGCTCTCCCCGGGCCTACGGGACAGCCAGGTGCTCCCCGAACCGTCGGCCTTGGGTCTGGTTCCAGTTCCGGCTCTTGAGACCCGCTCCGGCGCGTCTGTCCAAGCCCTCTGGGGCTTCTCCCCACCCGTGTCCTTACTCGTGAGCACTTGCCTCCGTCCACGTCCCGGGCCCTCCTCCAGCTGTTGCTTCCGAGCCTCTCCCCAGCCCCAGGCTGCTGTACCTCCTCCTCTTGCGAGATACCCGGGCTCTCCGGCAGGGTCACCCTGGAGCCCACCGCACTTCTCGGTCATCCCTCGCGGGTTGAGGCCTCTCCCTCCTGCCTGGAGACTCTCACTCACTTGTCCAGTTCTCTGCACCCAACTCAGTCACTTCTTAAACATGCTTTGGGGCTTGGTGAACATCCTGTTCCACTCTCAAGCCCCCTCCCCCTCCAGGCCTCTGCTTCTAGGAGCTTCCCACGGAGCTCTCTGCCCTTAGCGCATCTTTCTGAAGTTAGTTTCTGAGAGCGGTCTAGGGCCGATTCTGCACGGTGGCATTTCCCCACCCACCCCCCACGCCCCTGTCTCCCTGCTGCTTCTCCCCGGTGTCACGGCTAAAACCCTTTTCCTTTCTCTCTGCGTTTTCTTTTATTCTCACTGTTGTCCCAGTCGGTACCCTGGCTCTGTAGTGCTCCCTGAGGCTTCTCCCTACAGAGCGCTTGGAAGTCTTTGCAGGCCTTATTCCAGAACCCGTATTCCCTGGAAGCCTTTTTTTTTTTTAAGATAGGGTGCATGTGCTCACAGGAGTGGGGAGTGAGAAACCAGCCTCTGCGGGGATGGATCCGCCTCAGTTTCCTGTCCTTTCAGGATTTGGGCAGCGTGTGGTTTTTAGTCCACTCGGTCTGGGACTCAGCCATGCTGTGGGCCTCATGGGATCCAGCCTGTGCCCCTGCTGGCCCCTGCAGTGCTTGATGGACCTTTGCCCTTTAACCCCAATCTCAGGACCTCCCCTGCCGTTCGCAGGGTTTTTCTCACCCGCACCGCTTCTTTGCACATGGCTTCTGTTACTTCACACCGGAATGCCCTCGACAGTCTTTCCTGCAGCGGCTCCTTCTGTCTCAAACGCCTTTCTTCTGCCTGGCTTCTCGTGAGCTCTTCTGCTTTTCTTCCCCACCTCGTGGCCGGTTTCTTGCTCCTTTTGGAGTTTCCCTAACCCTTTCTTTTTCTCACAGACAGTCAGAAAGCAGTCTGGCTCCCGAGGCCCACCCCTTACACCCCAAGGTCCAGATGGCGGCCAACGTGGGTGATCAACGCAGCACGGATTGGTTAGTGAGGCTTCAGGGACAGAGGCCAGCCTGGGGGGGGAAGAGGAAGCAAGACCCGATGGTGGGCTCTGGGG